CTGATCAGCTGATTTGGCAGGGTTGCTTTTCTTGCTTCTCAAAAGTAACGGGTGATTTTTTAAGAGCTTGATACCTTTTTTTTTAAAAAAAACGCATAAAATTTGCAAAATCTCATCGGTTCTTTATTTGAAACGTTAGATTGGTCCATGACATTTACTTTTTGAAGATAATTTCATTTAAATGTTGACCGCGGCTGCGTCTTAGGTGGTCCATTCGGAAAGTCCAATTTTGGGCAACTTTTTCGAGCATTTCGGCCGGAATAGCCCGAATTTCTTCGGAAATGTTGTCTTCCAAAGCTGGAATAGTTGCTGGCTTATTTCTGTAGACTTTAGACTTGACGTAGCCCCACAAAAAATAGTCTAAAGGCGTCAAATCGCATGATTTTGCTTATTTACGAAGCCATTCAACCAGAAATGAGCCTCATCGCTGAACAAAATTTGTCGATAAAAAAGCGGATTTTCTGCCAACTTTTCACACATTCAACACATTTCGAACCGAACACTGATTTTGGTAATAAAATTCAATGATTTGCAAGCGTTGCTCGTTAGTAAGTCTATTCATGATGAAATGTCAAAGCATACTGAGCATCTTTCTCTTTGACACCATGTCTGAAATCCCACGTGATCTGTCAAATACTAATGCATGAAAATCCTAACCTCAAAAAAATCACCCATTAGTTGCTACCGATAAATGCAAATTATAACCGAGTACCTATTAAATCTAAAATATATATTTTATGAAATGGTTAACTTCGGAAGTTTTAATTAAAGCTTACATTGTCTCCAAAGGAGCTAGAATTTTTTTAAACCTAAATGAGTCTTTTAGAACAAGAGTTATGCGAAAAACTTAATTTGAGAAAACCGAAAGCATGGGTACCGACTACTTCAGATTACAATATTTTTCCATCAATATAAAATACAAAGTGACGCGGTAAATTTGTGTGAAAAGTTGCGTGCGGTATACTTCAAATTAAAAGTTTTATAGTTTTTATAGTTTTTAGCCATCAAAAGCGGAATATATCTCAGCATTAAACAGATAAGACCCGAAGATAAGTATTTTAAAAGAAAAATAAAATGAATAAAAGGACTTTTGAAAATTGCATGAGCAGGGAAAAAATGATCTTTGAATCCAATGTGAAAAGATTCAAAGAACTTATGGAATCTGACCAAGTAACAGAAAGTGTGGTAACATTAAAACAAATAGAAAGTGAAATCTGTATAAATGTTACTGATAGTGAAAATTCGGAGCGATTTTCATCCGATGAACATAGCTCCGGGGGTGAAGAAGAAGTTTTAGAGACCCCTGTAGAAAGTGTTGCTGGGGTTAATAAAATTGAAGAAATTAAATCGTGGGCTATTGAATTTAATATTTCACGAAATGCTCTAGACGGCCTATTGCAAACTTTAAATAGAATCGGAGTAAGTGATTTACCTCTTTCAGCAAAAACTCTTTTGGGGACCAGCAGGCAAAAAACGAATATATCAAAAATTCCAAACGGTGAATTTCTGTACCTAGGAGTACAAAACTATTTTTTTTGACAAAACTCTTAATTTTTTACAAAATAAGGAAGAAATTTCGATTGATGTAGGGGTTGACGGTCTTAGGTTATTTAAAAGTTCAAACCGTGTACTGTGGCCGATTCTTGGAGCACTTTCAGATTATCCTACTAAGAGCCCGTTTGTCATTGCTTGCTTCTCTGGGCATGGAAAACCCAAAGACATAAATGACTTCATGCGCGATTTTTGTGCCGAATACAAGGTTCTAAAAGAAAACGGTATTAAAGTAGGCTCCAATCAAGTTTTAAAAGCATTCAATGTTCGGGTTTTCATTTGTGCAATTAATGAAAAACTCAATTACGTATCTCAATTTGTGCCTTCTGAATTCGGTCGTATACCTAGGAGCTTAGAAGAAGTTTGCAATTGGAAGTCTACGGAATTCAGGCAATTTCTCCTTTATACAGGTATATTTGTTTTGAAAGGTAATATTAGTGATGATTCATACTACCATTTTTTATTGCTTCACAGTGGAATAAGACTTCTTTCAAATGAAAAGTCACTTAATAAAGACACAGTCGTTGCTCAAAAAAATTTTAGAAGATTTTGTCAAATTTTTTGGTAACTTATATGGCGACGAACAAGTTAGTTTTAATATTCATGGTCTGCATCACTTATCTGATTCGGTAAAAAAACTCGGTCCATTAGATTCTTATTCAGCATATAGATTTGAAAATTATATGCAATTTTTAAAAAAAATTATTAAAAGCCCAAACAACATTCTTCAGCAATTGTCTTTGAGACTTAAAGAAAGGCAGGGGTATGAATCAAGTTGCAATAATTTTGGTTCCTTTACTATCAGTGATAAAAAAGATAAAGATAGTTATTGTTTTTGTGAGAAAATTGGGCCTATTAAGGTTGTGGATGTCATAAAATCAACGGAATCGGATATAATTATTTGTAAAGCTTTTCAAAAAATCGAAAACTATTTTACTGAACCTCTTCATTCATCCACGAGTTTGGGCATAGTTGTAGCAAGTGATTTGGCCATTGAAACAGTTCAAATTGCCTTCAAAGATATAAAATATAAATATTTTTGTATTCCGTTTGGTGGCAAGTTTCTGTTAATACCCCTGCTGCACCATTTGTTTCACGATTTTTTTAACTTTACCACACATTCATAATTAACAAATTACCGATAATTATAGTTTAAGTAATTGCAAAAAATATGAAATTATTGCACATGAATTCTAGCAACTCTATTTTGGACGAGTCCTTCGTTGATGAAACCCAATTAAATGGTAAGTGAAATGCCTTAAAAGTGTACATATGCATATATATATAATTTAATGATTCTCACTTTTCAGCGAACCAGCCTGCAATTGTCAGAAGATGCTTTGATGAAACAACTTCCGACGAAGTGATGGAGGTTAGGGAGGAAAGCAGAAATGGGCAACAGAGACCCGATAATAAAGGTTTGTTTCTGCTAAAATTATCGCTAAACTTAATACGATATTATCTGCAGAGATTCTGGATGCCTTGGAAGTCATAACCCTACGTTTGGCTACGATCGAAACTAATGTAAGTAATAGCATCTCCGTTTTCATACTTATATCACATCGGCAACAGTGACATTTATCCGATAAATGCCTTTTCTTGCCATAATTTATGTTGTCAATGTTCGATATGTATGCATTTCATTAGCAAGTTGTCCTGCAAAAAAACCAGGAAATAATTAGCCGCCAAGTCGAAGAACTTGTCGAGAAGGTGAGTTTTTTTTATTACTAATAGCGTTTTCTTTTCTCGAAAAAATGCTGCATTTATTTTTCTTGTTTATTTAATGTTATACCATACTTTTATAAAAAAATAAACATTGAATAAACAAAGGAAAAACAGCCGAAACTTATTTAAATATCGCGTTCCTATGTATAAATTCATTTTCCCACCACTGTATATTTTATGTTTTAATTAATAACAAATGTTTCCCAATAGATGGTTAATAAGTCGGAAATGTTGGCAGAAAACAAAATCCTGAGAGAGTGCAAAGTGACTTTGCAAAAGATTGAACTGTCAATTGGACGTATGACTGGCGAGGTACGAGACCAAATTTTAGATGAGGTGGCGAGCATTTTTCCAATCAATTCAATTACTTCCGTCAGTGATATTGAGGACAAAATTATGAATCGTCCGGAATACGCTCAAGCAATGGTAATGAAGCTTGGTTTCTTTCAAGCTTAAAATTCTCATACCTTCCTTTCTATGCATTTTTCTATAGATAACGTACTTCCACAAATTGAAAGGAGCATCCGAAGACGTCTCTACGGTATTGAAATACATTTTCACTGACGAACTATTACTGAATTTTAATTGGGATGGCAGGTGGGAGAAACAGGCTCTTTGCAAATTAAAATTAGTCGAGATGTGTCTGCGAGGTAAATTGCGTCTACTATTGAAAGTAAATATTTGGTTATTAATATTTTCTTTTTTACTTTATGTAGATGTTTTTAAAACACAGGCGTCGTATGACTTTCAAAAGGCGGTGAAAAGGTCAATCGAGCTTAGCCATCACCGATTGAAGCAGAAAAAGTACGAGCTTAATAAATCTAAGAAATAATAGATTAATTTATGTAATTTTAAGTTTACTTTTCCTCGTATTAATAAGTTCCACATTTGAGTAATAATTTATGAAGCGGCCCCCTAAAATGTCACAAAGGTATAAGAATTAATTTTTGCATTCAACACAGATTGTATCCTAATATATTGGGCCCTATCTGCGGTTAAGCCTAGATATGTGTATATGCCAGAAATATACTTTGCAGAAGTTGAAAATCTGTTTAAAACGTTTTTCTTAATTAAACACTTAGTTAAATATTTTTCGTTAAATATTTCTGTAATTGCAATTGCTGCGAATTGAATTTCATGAAACTTTTGTGAAAATGTAAGCGTCTTGCCTATCTAAAAACTAGATATTAACTATTGAATAAGATTCCAATCGTATCAATAATTTCACGTCATTGCCTAAAATTTCCACTCGACTAGAGTATTAATACGGAAAAACTTGGCAGCACTGCATGTTGAAAAAACGTTTCTTTGCAGATAGGGCTCGATATGTTTGGATACAAACTGTATAAAATGCAAAAATTAATTCTTATATCCGTCACTTTGTGACATTTTAGGGGGCCGCTTTATAAATTAGTACTACATTTTTTTCATACAAATTTTCAAAATTTTTTTTATGTAAATGAATTCTGAATATTTTTAATTTTTGGTTCTAATATAATATATAATATAATATTTATATAAACTATAATATGAAACTTTGATTTATATGGTTTATATTATAGAATGAACTATATTTTCATAAATAATCAATGCAAAAAAATTTTTCATGAAAATAATCGTAAATATTTATTAGAACAAGGCGTACACTTTCATTTGTCGCCTGTTATATATGTGTACATATTTAAAATTATATTCCTTTTTTTAAGAATTTATTATTAATAAAATAATTAAACATGCATAAATTTTAATTTTTATTCATCAAATATGGGT